AACATCTAATACATATCCAAAATAAAAAGTCTAACTCCTTAATAGCTGCAGAATGTCCAAAATATAACAAAAAACAAAAGTTGGTAGCATTGATTTTTAATAATATGTTGACATGATTTATTTAGTCTAATATGGGCCAATGCATACTCATCGTAATAGTTTCTCTTGAAAAATGAAAGGAACATTCTTACAGTACATGAGTGAAAGTCGATGCCTCATGAGGAAAGAACAAAAAGTAAGAGAAGACCAAAATTAATTTGTATTAGGAATGAAATGAATTTTGTTGAGTCATACCCTAAATAAAGATGTTAGAATTGCCAGTAAATTAGTTATTATGTACATTAATGTCCTTAACAAAACCCAAATAATTAATATGTACATCTTCATTATGGTTGTATTGTAGTGAATGTCATTAGAGTATAACTTGAATTATTTAGTTTAAATAATCATAATGCATTAAGTTCTAATGGCACAAACCCCTTATCTCTTAAAAAATAAAAGTGTTATGCCCATCACTAATCAAGTAGTAGACTCTCTCAAGACCATCATTACCTTGCAATAACATAACAATAAAAAAAAAATTAGGTTTTTAAAAATAAGAAAATAACAAATTTCTACGTATAATACACTTACAAGTAATGATGCAACAACTGCATCCTTAGTCATTGAACGTCAAGTGTGGGCTCTATATCATCATATATAATCATAGTTAAAAATGAACAAACTAATATATAGGTCATTAGTTATGATCCAATCTCTCTTATTCTCCCAAATTTGTAATACATCCCTAAGTTTGTCCTGCTAGTTCTCTGATATCTTCTCTCAAAGTGTCAAGTCATGTATTGCATCTGACTGAAATAGATCATGAGGTATGTGTTGAACCATACCAAACTAACATATGACTCGATCAAGTTGGTTCTACTCACACACTTGGAAATATATAAGGGGCACTACAACCCTTCACAAATCCATACCCTCACGACATATTGCTAGCAACGAATTAATTAACTGAGTTGTAAATGGTTGCCATACAATTTGAAAGTCATCAACAAATATTAAATCTTTTTAATATTAAAATGAATAACAAACATAAATAATAATACTATACATACCAAAATTTTAAATAATACCTCCTTACGACTCGGATGATTAAATTTATATCTATAATAATGAAGATCTTTCTTTTCCTTCCTGTAAATTTGGTATGATAACCACCTACAAAAAATGTTACATAACCATTATATGAGAAAAAATGGTTAATCCTAGTATCTTAATCAACCAATACAAAGTTAAATGCATACAATACCTCACAATATATGAAAGATGGCCTTATGTGTGGGGGATTACCAAGCACTAACTAGGGGAATCTATTCTATGCCTACATGACAACCAATGTAGCGAGGCCTCCTATATTGGTCTAATCAATGTTGGTGGTCATGCAAAGCTCTTGATACAAAACTCTCAGAACTGTAGACCCTCAACTATATTGATTAGTAATAGCAAAATTCGAAAGTAAAGCTAGAGTAGTCACTCAACATAAACCCTCAAATCAACGACAACATATAAGCTCTTGCAAAATGAGTAATTTGGAGAGGACTATGATCATGCATCACAATGTGGATAAAAATATTATCTAACCAACTTATCTTCAGGAAGCTACCTACAAAGACATCACGCTTAAGTTGAATCCCAAGGCTTTCCTTAACCATCTGTGCATATTCATCTCCAATGGAGGCTATTGTTGGTCTTCCATCAATTTGCAACCCCAAAAAATTGGAAATGTCTTGTAAAGTGATTATACACTCTCTAGCAGGTAGATAGAATGTATGTGTCTCTAGCCTTTATCTCTCCACTAGTTTAATGATCAATAAAAGTTCTAATGAAAACTGACATAACTATATAATTCCAACAAATCCAACAAGCTCGAGATGGGGAAGGATCCTAGCTAGAAAACCTTCCAAATCAACTGAAATAAATTGACTCTTCCTAACCTTTAAAATAGCATGATCTTAACCATCCCAAATGTACTCAGATATGTGAATGCTCTAAAATCGCAATAATGAAGGATTCTTTGGTCTAAAATTAATGATCCTTCTCTACCTAAAAGATGAGGCCATCTACAAATAATTTTAACTACAATTAGTTAATTAATAAATAAGAATAACAATAATATTCAATATCATATCAAAAAATTATATCAATAGATCATCTTTATGTAAAATACTAATAATAAAATAATTAATATTTAAATTTTTAATATTTTCTTAATCTTTAAATAAAATAATACTCTCATATAGTAAAAATTACATAATTTTCTAACTTCTAAATACAATAACTCATAATCAATAACAATATAAGAAAATATTTAATAATTTCCTAACGATTACTAATCAAATTTTTTATAATTTTTTATAATTTTTTAATAAATAATAATAATAATAATAATAACAATAATAATTAAATTTATATTTATATTGGTCTAATAACTCTCAAACTAATTATAACTAATAACATGAATAGTACTCAAATTTTTATCTTCAATTTCAACTTATTTTTAATTATTTTATTAGTAAAAAAAATCTTTTGTAATTATATTTTTAATAAATATTACAATATTTTATAATTTATTTATAAATCAAATAATCAATATTTTGTGATTTATTACAATTTATTACTAATCAATTGCACCCAAACAAATTAATATAATTATAAAATAAAAAAGACTTATTTAAAATATATACAATTTGTAATTTTTATTTTATACATATAATTTTTTTATCTAGCGCAATTATTTTATATTATTCAAATATTTATAATCGTGATAATTAAAAAAATTATTTAGATATAATTTATTTAAAGTAATTATTATAAAATAAAGAGTTTATAATTATATATCAATCATATAATTTTATAAAAATATAAAATTGGATTAAATGAGACTAATCACGTGTTAAATCAGAACTAAAATTTTCTCAATCTAATATTGTTGTTAAGGCAATAGTGTAGGAAAGAATTAATGTTACAAGTGTATTTTACAAGGCGAGAAGGAAGAAGCACGATTCCAACTTCAAGTTACAGGCTTGATCTAAATTTATGAAAAACAATTTTAAAAAGGGATTAAAGCTTGAGCCAAATGCTTGAAAAATGTATCTTGATAATTGCTTACAAGAAAGCATTTGAAGAGATCGATTGTGAATTGAATTAATGATCCTTTGACATATATTATTAATTTTCTTTAGAGTTGTAACGTGTTAGAGTAATCCTTGTACTCTAAATGTCTTTAATAAAATATTGATGTTTAGCAAAAAAATATATATATATAATTTTATAAAAAATTTCATAAAGGAAAGTTCTCACTCAATCATAAAATTAATGTTTTTATATTATAAATCAAATGCATACACAAATTCTATTATATATAATACTTTTTATTTATAATTATGCATAAAATTGATCTTATCAACATGCAGAGAAAAAAATTGTATTTATAATTTGTAATCAATATTAACTATAATCATTATTGATTTATAAATGTAATAATCATCATATTATTATTTAATTAATTCTAAACTAGTAATATAACACTATTATATTGCTTATTAATATTTTTTCTATATAAAAAATTATTATTTCATAATGTAATAGTAATAAACTATCTAATATATATATATATATATATATATATATATATTCTAAATAACAATTATATATGTATTTAAATATAACTCATTTTTAATTTAATAATTATATATCTAAAATTATTAATTATATTTTAAATACAAAACATAAATTATATATAATATATCAACTTATTTAATAAATATTTATGCTTATTTAATTATTGATTCTCTTTTTTCTATTTTAAAATTTCTAATGTATTTATTATTCAATTTATATTATTTTATTAGAACATAATTATTAAAAAAAATCTATTCATTTCTACAATAATTACATTTAAATACAAATTAAATAAATTTAAATACGCAACTAATAAATAAAATTATTCACTCATATCAAATTATTATAATTTTTAATTGTCAGAATAATACTAATCTCTTTGATGACAAGAAAGGTTGAAAGAGGAAAATTTGCAAGGAGGTGCCACCAAAGGGAGTGGCGTCAGCGACTTAGGTTGCGTTAGTGACAACGGTGCATGGTGGCAAAAACAACAGTGATTGGCAGCAGAAACACAAATGTGCAGAGAAGGAGAGACTAAAAATGGAGAAGGTAAAAAGAGGAGGGTGGCAAGGGGAAAGGAGAGAAGGGGCTCTTAGCACGGTTACTCAATTGTCCAACGCAAATGATTTTCTGAACTATAACCTGAAACTTGGGTCATTCAAAAACGCTAAAGATTGGATTAATCGCATCCTGTACGTGAAATTCATATAGACGGGTATGCCTTATGCCTTTCCTATCCATCCTAATCACCTAACATTTTTCATGCTACTTAATAAGTTGAATGATTCTAACAAGAACCACACCACAAAAGTTAGCTGTTGTGGTTGAAGAAATCACCTCATAAACCCCACATTAAAATTTCATATTTCCAACCTGAAACTCAAGTCACATTGTATGCTAAGGAAGAAAGAATTGATTTGCTCGTTAGCTATTGCTAGACTAGAAATTAAGCTAGTCATTAGCTAGGGGTGGATCTGTAGACTAATGCTGAGGGGTTTAAATAAATTATCGATGTTCACAAATTCAAACATAATTATACCAAAAATGAAAAATATTAGCTGATATTTACGAATCTTCCAAACATGCCACAGGATTTGACAATTGCCACCATGAAGGAAAAAAAATATTTATCTATTAGAAGTAAACCACCTTACTGTCTAAGGTCTAAAGGCCAATGACAGACCCATCTGTTTCTTTTCACAACTTTATCTTCTGGCTGTTCCAGTAAAAGGTTGCTATCTAATCAGAGAATGCAGGAATTGTCGTAGAAACACACTATCGTTCATGGAGAGAAAAAGAAGGGACTTTACTTATGTCTGGAATTTGAACATTCATTCAACTTACACTGACCAAGTAAATGAGAAAAATAGCTTATACACATATCAGATACAGGTTGAAAAAGCAAAATGAGCGAAGCACTAAACAATGGAATGGTAAACGCAACCACAAATAAGTCTTTCATTCCCTCACACCACCTTCTTTGCCTTCCCATTTCTTTCTTGACAGAGTTTAACCAGGAAATATAAGTATCTCTAACTTGATATTGATGAATAGTCATTACCATATTGGTAAAACTCTTTCATACAAACAAAGAAAAGAAAGAAAGAAAAAATAACAAAAGCCTAAAGACTCTATTCATCACTACATCTATTTTTCTTCTTTTTCGTCCTTTCTGGTTTTAGCAGTCTCACTTATTTCCTTGATCTCCAAGCTGTTATAGAAAACAAGGACCGGTCCTGCCAGCACATCATTACACAACCATTTTCCTCCCTCATTCTATATCCCTCAGAACCATAGCTCTGCAGGAACCTCCGTGCCTGCAACATTCCATAATAGCTTAAAGGTACATTGGCAAAGCCAGATAAATCAAGTCTCTGGATCCACTTATCCAGCTTTTCATGTCTTTCCTTTCTTTCAGCTCCCTCACAAGCAATGATGTTCTTGATTTCCTCACCAAACATCATCTTCTCCACCTTTAATCTCTCCAATGATGCTCTGGAGACAGTTGATTCCAAACAATCAAACAATGCTGCATAAGAATATAGAGCTTCTAGCAGCCTTTCCATCAGCGTCGAACCGTTGTGATTAGAGTCTTGTTCAGTTACAACCATGACCTTTGGTGATAATCCCCATAAGGCATTCAGAAAGCTCTCTGAGTTCATTGATGCAGTTGAAGACACCGGTGATGATGAGGCTGAATCAGGACTTGGGCTATAGCCATTAACCATATCTTTTTCAAGCAAATCGCCTAATGTGTTTTGGTTCATCATGAGGACTTTTTGCAGGTGAATTCCATTTGAACTTTTCAACAGAAGAGGAGATTTTCTTCTTAAGGCTTCATCATCCAATGCCAAAAGGGAGTGTAATTGCAGAATAGTACTTATTGCTAGAGCCTCCCCAGTTTTCACACGAAGTTTGTCAAAATCAAGATTTTCTAACTTGCTGAGTACAGGATTGAATTGGAAAGGGATGTCTAACTTTTCTGCTTCTTCAGCAAGCTTATGAGCCATCTGATCCAGAATCTCTTTCTGCTGATGAACCCCAGTAATTCTCAAATGGGGAGGGCCTTCAGGACGTGCACTCAGAACTTGGAGGAGAGCAATCCACTGCGCCGGTTCGGCGGCATTGAGATCAATTATATGCACCATTTTCTCCCCTTCCATGGCTTCAACAATAGCCTGATTTGTCAGAATATATGCTACTTTCAAAAACGGGAAAAGCTCAAAGAAGAGCTTCTGAACAAGAATTTCTTCGGAAACCATAATTATTCTGGTGGAATTGAGGGCCCTGTGGAGGCCAGGCCATGTTTTGAGTATCCGATCAGCAAGTGCTTCAGTGAAGTATGCAGCAATTCGCTGCATAGTATCTCCGTCAGGGGATGCAAGCTGTGAAATTTGCTCAAGTATGATATTTGCATTTTCAAGACTACCAGCGGCAACATGGTTTGCACAAGTGAGTAACAAATGGATCAAGCACAAACCCCTTTCCTCAGATTTCAGTTCTCTATGCCAAGGGTAGGGAGATCCTATGCTAGGTGAAAGTGACATCATGGAAAAGAACTGTAGAGGTGAAGAAGTTACAGAAGCTGACCCTTCTTCTTGAAACATAGATTCCATGTAACAAACAACAACAATCTTATGAATTTGGAAATAAAGAAAAGGGACAGAATAGGAGTCACAGACAAGTTTGGTTAAACAAACAAAACAAACGTTTCAGGCTCTAAGATATCAACACCTCACACTTTACAATGCAAGAGATAAGTTTGAAGAAGCCAATGAACACGGAATGAAGAAGAAAAAACACAACTTTAAAGCAAAACGTTTAGCAAAAGGAACTGGGTTATAAAATTAGTATGATTTCACTGTCAACTTCTGCAGATCCCACACGGAAAGGAGAGAGGGACAAGTAAAAGAGAGAGAGAGAGAGAGAGAGAGAGAGAGAGAAGCTGAAGGGTAAGAAGGATTAGCACTAATTCAGCACAAAGTCATGGAGCAAACCATGGAAGCGGTGATGAGATGAGGAGGGAACCCTTAACCCTAGGAAAACCACATTAGAGAGACGGAACAAGGAAAGGCTTAATCCGTGGTGGGTTTTCTAATTGAAGAAGAACGAAAGTGAAGCCCCATGAAAATCCCAAAGCTTGGTCCTTGGAACAGTGTGAAGCGTAACGGGTGTGGTTGAGGAGTTTTAGGTGTGTGTTGTATGGGAGTGGAATTCAATGTTTGGAGCGAAGTAGGGGAATGAAGCAGTTGTTTCATGGCAACGTTGTCGACAATGCGTGAAGGGTGTTGTTGTCTTTATTGTTTTGTTGTCGTTCACTCTTTAGTGGAGTATGGAATTGGGGAGAGTGTGACTCTCGGCTGTTTCTGTCTTTCTCTCTCTAAAAGTGGTGTTTGTTTCCTCAACGAGGCTTCTGTTTTAGACGTCTTCATTTGTCTTTACCTTAGGTGGATAGGGAATCGAGGCTGGCCAAAGGCTTTTTAATATTCCCTAAGGTTGCAAGAATCCAAACATGCCTTGGCAAAGACAAACATTGCCCTCAGATTTGTCTCCTAGTGGGGTGAGTGTGAGGGGCAAGAAAGCTCCCCAAGTGCTTCCAAAATATGGTTTTGTTTTATTTTCAAACCCAATGACCATACAATTGGTATTATCTTCTTCTATTAAGACAAACAGACAAGGATTTTAAGGAAACCTCCAAAAGTAGATTGTACATTTATCTCTATTTGTGGATTCTTAGGTGGCACTTACCTTCCCAGCTACGTTCCATTTTTCTTAGGAATTCCCAATTTTCTTAGGAAATTACCATACTTGAAGAACATGCTAGCTGACTTACTGCTCAGGTGCCGTGTAATCATGTACTATCAATATAACTGTATTTTGGCTTCTAATTGCAAGCTACTACGGTATCCACGCTGCGGGAATGATTCTAATCTTTTCCCCTTAAATTCTACTAAATCAAGTTTACAAAATATGGAAAATGACCAAAAACCAAGATTATGAGTTGTGTGTGTAGGTAGGTATTAGGAATTCACATTTTCTTTGTCTTTCATTAAATCAAGCTCCAGCTGAAACATTTTTAAACAGCTTCATCGTAATTTTTGAATAATATTCTGAATTTAATTTTAATAAAAGGAAATTTCTTAAATTTTGTTTGAGGAGATTTGACTAATCAACGTGAGATAATTTATATTTGTTAACTTTAATTCTTAGGATAAAGTTTCATTATTAAAAACTTTGAAAATATTTTATTATGTTCGCTTTAACGGTTAAGTTTTATGTAAGAAAAATGAATTACAATAAAAGTGTTCAATTTAATAAAATAGGCCGAAAAGTGCATAAAACCCAAAAGAAAAGAGAAAAAACTTGTCGACCTACTACAATCACTTTTATTTTAATCACCCTGAAATGCACATCCTTTTACCGATTAAACTCACATATCTTAAGAATAACATATTAAATATATTTTTCTTAATCATCACTATCTAAAAATTACATCGACACTTTATTGAATTGGTTTTTTTTAATAGATTGAAAGTCGTAATGCCACTATCAAGCTTTTTACGTCATTAAGAATGTATTAATATATCATTTAGATATTTACATATTTTAGTTGTTGATTTTAATAATCAAACTTCTTTAAGAATTTCTATGAGGTTAATTGAATATTAGTTTCTCTGTTATTAAACCGTGATTTATGACTTCCGTGTTTTGTTCACATCAGACTTTGACATGACACAAACATCATTTTGTTAATTTTAATAATTATTTTATTTTATTTTTTTTACGCTCCAATCTTTAGATTTATTTTATATTTAATTTTTTTATCTCTTTTGTTTCATATTTAAGGATAGAAATAGGTCAGGCAGCCTGACATGAGTCTATTACCTAATATCTTTAATAAATAAATAAGATTTAAACTTTTTTTAAGGTCTGTTTAAATAAATAAATCAAATTTAAACTAATTACAAAATATATTAAGTTTGACAGATCGATCTTTATATGTAAATATATATATATATATATATATATAATTTAAAAATATTATAAAATTAAATTAAATTTAACTTTTATATTTAGTTAATTTTTTAATTAAATTCAACATGATACATTCATAATTTATGATTTTATTTAAGAATTAATGATAAATATTTTTAACTAAAAATATTATTTAAAAGATAAAATATTATTTTCTAAAATATTATTTAATTATTTTAGTAAATTTAATCAATTTTCATATGTTTTGATATTGTTTATAACTTTTAATAATTACATATTCAATTTAAGTTTAAATATGATATAATTACTTTGAATATAAATATAAAGTAAATTCTGTAGTATCCTTAAAATTTTTTATTGTATTATACATGAAAAATTTTAACCAATAATATTTAAACACATGTCTAAATAATAAATTTATTTAATAATAAATTATTATATTTGTTATATTTGAATAAGTTGAAGAACATTTAAGTCTTTAAATAAGATTATGACATAATCAAAACTAAACAAACTAAAATTTAAAAAAATAATATTATTATTAATATATTTTTTATATTCTTAATTCTATTATTATTAATATTTAATTATTATATTAATATATTATATTATAATTATTTTTATTTATAATAAATATAAATTATATTTTATTCAAAACTAAAAATATTTATACACGATTACATATGTTTAAATAATAAATTTATTTAATAGTAAATTATTATATTTATTATATTTAAATAAGTTGAAGAGCAGTCCTTAAATAGAAAAAAGACACAATCAAAATTAAACAACTAAAATTTAAAAATGAAATAATAATATTATATTAATATTCTTTTTTCATATTTTTAATTTTATTATTATTAATATTTAATTATTATATTAATATATTATGTTATAATTATTTTTATTTATAATAAATATAAATTACTTAAATATAAATTATAATTTATTTAAAATTAAAAATTTATAAAAAATAATAAAAAATAAAATAATAAATTTAATATACAATTATATATAATAAAATTATATAGTAAATAATATAAATAATATAATTTCTAATAAATTATATATAATAATATATATTTTTGTAACTTGACACATGTTTTATTTTTTGGCATAAATTTTTGGATATGGTATACATAAAATTTATACCAAAAAAATAATATAAAATTGTATACTAAATTTATTATTATATATAATAAAACACTTGTTTTTTTAACTTGGCACGTGTTTTTTTTTTAGTATAAATGAATATTTGCATATTTAACTTTTGACTCATCTTAATTTAATAGAATTTATATTTAAATTTTTTTGTAACATTCATTAATTCTTATTATTCTCATATGTTATTTTTCTACATTCATAAATTTTATAATATAAAATATTTCATCTATAATTTTCATAATGATGATATATTTATTTTTTAAACAAAATAATTTTTTTAGCTGATTCAACAAATTTTATAAATATTATTTTTTGTGATCAATTTTATGTGTTCACCGTAATTTGATTTATTGAATGTAAGATGTCTTTAAACAAATAAAATATGATCTTCATAAAAAAAATAAAATAAAATTTTTAATACTTTAATAATTTTATAAAAATAAATCAAAAAAATAAAAATATAAAAATTTCATAATATGAAAATATTTATAATTAATACTTAAATAATATTTTAAAAATTATTTATTATAATTATTTAATAATTATTAATAATATAGATAAAAATTAAAAAAATATATAAACTAATTTGATAATAAAATAATTATATTTATATTAATATTAAGATAATTTTTTGTAACAAACTTCAGGTCAGGACATGATAAATAAAAAATAAGTCTTTTAATAAGTAATATATTAGACTTAGACTTAGACTTAATAATTATTTTACGAATTGCGCTTGTTTAGAGTGGAGACTAACCGGCGTATTTCCATCCCCATTCGTATTGATATATACATTTAAGAATAGCGTGAAATAATGTTTATCATCTTTATGAAGGCAAGTTAACTGGAGGAGTAATGTAGTAAGGGGGCTACTCTCTCTGGGGGAAAATAATGTCATGATCTTCTTGGAGACTTTTAGGCACCACCGCCCAGCCAACACTAATCGTGGACCCTAATCTTTCACCTCGGAGCACAATTCATTGCACCAATTATACCAAGTCAATCAGACACACTCAAAACTCAGCCCTAAATCATGACAAAGCCCCCTCCACGACTAGGGGTGTGTAAAAAAAGAATCGATTAAACCAGACTAAATCTTAGTTCAAATCAAATTATATTTAAAAATTTAATAATATAAACCGATTTTGAAACGAAATTAATTTATTTTTTAGCAAATGATTCAATTAATCGGTTGGAAGCAAAATTTGGAAACCAGATTAAAATCAATTTGGGTTAAAAATTTAATTTAAAAAAGAACTTTAATAGGTTTAAAACCCAAATTGGTTTTGTCCATAAACCGGTTTAAAACTGATTTGACCAATATCAATCCGACAGAAAAAAAATAATTCAATTTTTAAATCAAATATTTATAATTTAAAACTTTAGTTTCATGTGAAACTAGAGATGCACACTCTTATTCACGACTTAAAGACATTCTCCATCTTTATTTTCACCTTCGGCTCTTGGTACTCCTACCTAAACGAGGAGAAGGAGGAGACTAACGACGTTAACCTCCCCCAACCACGTTGTTTGATAGTGAAAGAAAGTTAATTCAAAGCCACTTGAAAAATAATACCGGGGAAAAAGTTCAAAAGTTTCGTTGAGTCTAGGCAACTTCTTCCATAAAGGAAAAAAAAAAAAAAAAAAATAGAGGCAACTTTACTGGACTTATCTAGCATTCTAGTACTCTTTATTTTACTTCCCCTGATAAATATCTTTACTTAAATTACTTTCACTAAGTTATACATACATATTTAACTATAAATTTAATTTTGATACATTATCATTATAAATTTTTTACACTGTCAACTAGTTAAAATACATCATTGATATAATTTTTGAATTATTACAAAAACAAATTATTTACTAGTATGACAATTTATAATTAAATGATAATATAAAAAATTTATACACTCACTATATTCAAATTAAATTATTTAATTATTTATGAAACATGCTTTAGCTAATAACAATATGAATGTCAATTTATTAAAATTTTAATTATTATATGCATAAACACGTATAAATGTCTTGTTACATCATTTTTTATGTATTAACTAATCAATTAATTTTACTAAATATTTTTAATTTAATCAACTTTTAGTCTTCAGCTCTCAACATTTCAACTGTTTAATTTTCAGATGATTTTTCAA